GTCCTTTCCCAACCAATGGGAACTCTCCAGGAGTCCAGTAACATGAGTCCTGTAGCAGGCCAAGGTGAACAGCAGGAGTCCAATATCCATATGAATGTAAATCTTAACATAATCATATCATCTCAATGGCTAGCTGGCGTCACCTTACAACCAAAAGTGCCATGCATCATATTACTTGGCTATGGCTCCTAGCAAAGTTGTTCTGGCAGAAACATTTAAACAATGGGTTGGGAGATACATAAAGAAACTTCAGTTACAGAATACAGTATGAGCAAACATTAATTGGTGTTTAATATATTCTAGACACTATGCTAACTAGTATAAATTAATGACAACCCCATCAGGGAGAAAATTTACCGTCTTTGTTTTATAAATAAGCAAACTGAATCAGAGAAGAATCAATTGGTCCAAGATCATACATCTAGTAAGTGGTAAGCATGATTGTATTTCTAAACTACAGGTTGGGTATAAATAAGTATTTATTGAATATCTAAGTAAATTCAAATACCTGAAAACAAATCTCAAACCAGTATCCATTTTTATCTTTAAACAAATCTTTGCATTTGAGAATTTCATTTAGAGCTACCAGAGCAATGTTTTCTTATTTCCTAGTCACTAAACTGACTGCTCCTGTTATGGAATAGAAGTGTGTTCCATCATTCCTACTTCAGGAATTATTTTGATACAAGACTTTACTTTTAACACAATTGGGTTTTATTGGTTTTAGATGAGAAAATGACAAAATGTCTTCCTCTCATATCCAACTAAAAAAACTATATACCGTAGTAATATTTCTGCATCATTATGTCCAATAGGATGTACAGGTATTTTCGGGATTCCAACTCCTTCTTCAATATTTAGTCTGAAAGTATAATCTGCAAAATCAAGTACATAAATGAAAACAATTGAAGAATCTGAGCAAAAGCTATGTAGGAAATATCTGTATTATTATTATAGCTTTGCTTGCTATACACATTGTTTTCTCAGTACTGGGGATTGAACCCAGAGCTTCACCCATGGTAGGTCGGCCCTCTACCACTGAGCGATATCCCCAATATTTTTCTCATTTTATTTTCAGACAGGGTCTACCTATGTTTCCCAGATTAGCATCAAACTTTTAATCCTCCTGAGTAATTGGGATTATAGGCATGCACCAACATGTCCAGCCAATTTTGCTAGACATTTGCGATTATATAAAAATTAAAAGTCCCCTGAAACCAAGCTATTTTTTTATTATGGCCTATTAGAT